TAGCCAGCAGACCCGTTGGGGTGGCCGAAGATGTTGGGATGTCGGGGACGCGTTCTCACAGCCAGTGAGCCCGGCTTCCGTTGTCGCAGAGGCTCTGTTCTTGGCAGACAAGTGCGGACGGTTTCAGACGCTTCTTAACTGCTGCGGCCTTGGGATTACAGGCCTCCCGTTTTTTCCCACGGTCAGTTCCCTGCACCACCCCTGTGCACGTGATACACGTCTCACCTGCATACGCCTTGGCACGGTCAGCTCCCTGTACCGCGCAGTTGCTCTACGCTCTGCATCACTGCCGCAGCTACTGGCGTGGGCAGCACTCGGCGCTGCGCCTTGTGCTTTGGGGCAGATCGTATGGCAGTTCCCCTCAGCCTCTTCCAGATCGGTATCCAGCGAGTCAGGCTCTCAGATCTGTGTGGCAAGACAGACTTCTGGGCCTCGCAGATGCGGTCCGAGTCGATTCGGCCAGGGGATCGCGCCGCGTCGGCGATGCATCGGCGACGCGGCTCGCTGTGCAGCCTGACCTTCTCCACGCCGAGGCCGCCGCTGCATCGCCGGCGTCGACGATGGATCGCCGATGCATCGGCGATGCATCTGCGATTCACTGCCGTCCCCCGCCCCCATCCTCGGAGGCGGCCTGCTTCACCGGCTCTGGCAGACCGTCCCCCTCCGTGACGTCCCCCTCGCCTTGCCCCAGGGCGCACGTGTGCGGCCGAAGGGGAGCTTGAGCGGCGAGGATGGCGTCACGGAAGGGGACGGCTTGCTCGGGGGTCGGTCAGGCCGCGCTCAACTCTGGGGGAACGACAAATGACGTCAGCATGGAAATTCGGAAACCGAGGAACCCGCGCGGACCTCCGATTTTTCTGTTTATTGCATGGCTCGTTTTCCTAAGATCCCCCCAGCCCCATGCCAAGAAACACCCTGCTTGCCTCCAGGGTGCCCTGGGTTTCTTGGCTTTCGATGGTTTTGCGATGGAAAGCGTGACGTTCCCGCGCCAAATATCGATGAACGTCCTGGGGCCTCAGGGCTGGGTTTCTCGTGGAAGGGTTCTCGTGGTCGGGCCCCCACTGCATGGGGTCGGTGAGACCGCGCCCACATCCCCCGACCCCGTCTGCTCGAACCCCCTTCCAGGAGTAGGGGGCCGCATGCGAACCCTGCCCTTGTACCCCCCACGACTTCTGGGGGGGAGGGTGGGGGGTTCCCTTCGCTCGAGAGCTCTCCCGAGCGGAGTGACCCCCCCCCTCCCCCCCCCAGAAGTCGTGGGGGGTGGGGGCAGGGTTCGCGCGTGGCCCCCTCTTGGCCTCTGCGTTGCATGAGACATGCAGGTGCTTGGCTTGGGCCGCGGTCTCCTGGGAGGCCTCTCGGGGGCCTCGGGGGCCTCTCGCCTGTGGCCTCCTAAGGAGGCCTCCACAAAGGGCTGCGCCAGAGCCCCGTGCGTGGGGCGCCCCCGCCGTGGCCTCTCCCAGGCCTTCTCGGGGGCTCTCTCGGCGACCTCCCTCTGCTCGAGCCCCTATCCAGGAGGCCTCCCAAAAAAGGCTGCGTCGGAGCCCCCGCGTGGGGGGCGCTCACGGCGAGAGAGAGTGTTGTCGGATCCCTATCCTTGAGTCGGGCCCGCCCCCCTCCAGGGGGATTTTCGACGAAACATAAAAAATTCTCCAACAAATAATCCAAAAATAGTTTGGGACTCCCCCGATCCGGGCTCGTTCGATCTCGATTCGTCATCGTTTATCGGATCCCTATCTTTAAGTCGGGCCTGCCCCCCTACAGGGGGCTTTTCGATGAGAAATAACAGATACCCCAAGAAATAATCCGAAACTAGTCTGGGGACTACTTTTGGGAGTATGTCTTGGCCTTTTTGGGGTATTTTTTTGGGTTTTTTTTTTCGTCGAACATCCCCCTGTAGGGGGACACGCCCGACGTACGCCTATCCCCAAGGGGCCATGGTATCTCAGCCCCGCCAGCGTGTACCGCCCCAGCTGGGGGATGGCCCCCTTCGAAGCCCGAGGGGAGCAGCCGATGTCCCCATCTGAGGGGACACCTCTCAGGAGGGGAAAAAACACACAGACACAATTAATCGTGGATTCCCCAGAAAATATTGGAAAATATGTGAATGGGGGGAAGGCAGAAACCCAGAAACTATGGGAAAATATGGGTAATCCTTTTATTTGTGTGTATTTATTTGTGTGTCCTTGGGCCCCTTGAACCTCGGCCAGTGGGGCAGGCCACGCCAGTGGGGATAGGGATGGGTCAAACGATGCTCATCGATGGCGTCTGCTTCTGATTCGATTCGGCTTCGGATTCCGATTCGGATCCCGGTGTTCTCAGCGGAGCCTGGCTGGCTCGCCGAGGTCCGCGGATTCGGCTCCTCCCAGCTTGGCTGCCGATTTCCGCCAGCCCGATTCATTTCGATCGCCGATTCGACTTATCGATTCGATTCCGGGATCCCAGGCAGAGATCCCAAGCCTTCCCCGCCGCCGTCTCAGGGTCCGTCTCGCGCAGCTCCGAAGGCAGCGGCCCGACGCACGTGCGCCGCAAGACGCCGATCGACCGTGACGCAGCGAGGGTGCTGTGCAGACGCTGCAGCGAGGGTTACTCTGGGAGGAGGAGGAGGAGGAGGAGGAGAAGGAGGAGGAGGAGGAGGAGGCGGAGGAGGAGGAGGAGGAGCAGGAGGCGGAGGGAGAGGAGGAGGGAGGAGGAGGAGGAGGAGGAGGAGGAGGAGGAGGCGGAGGAGGGAGGAGGAGGAGGAGGAGGAGGAGGCGGAGGAGGCGGAGGAGGCGGAGACGGCGAGGAGGCGGAGGAGGAGGAGGAGGAGGAGGAGAGGAGGAGGAGGAGGAGGAGGAGGATGAGGAGGAGAGGAGGAGAGGGGAGGCGGAAGGAGGAGGGCGGAGGAGGCGGAGGAGGCGGAGGAGGCGGAGGAGGCGGAGGAGGAGGAGGAGGGGAGGAGGAGGAGGAGGAGGAGGAGGAGGAGGAGGGGAGGAGGAGAGGAGGAGGAGAGGAGGGGGAGGGGGAGGGTGGGGAGGGGGAGGGGAGGGGGAGGGGGGGGGGGGGGAGGGGGAGGGGGAGGGTGAGGGGGCGGGGAGGGGGAGGGGGAGGGGGAGGGGGAGGGGGAGGGGAGGGGGAGGGGGAGGGGGAGGGGGGTGAGGAGGAGGAGGAGGAGGAGGAGGAGGAGGAAGAGGAGGAGCGCAGCGCGCAGCTTGTCGACGAGGACACGGTTGGGGCGGTCTGCGGCGCTCTCTGCCAGCGCTGGGGCGCAGAGTTGTCCATGGCCTTGCAGAAGGCAACGGCCTGGCAGCTCCGAAGCAGCGCAGGCAGCCGCGAGGACGCGGCGGCTCTGCGCGAGGCAGGGGCCGCTGGAGCCCGCGATGTAGAATTGATAGATTGGTGTTGTGTGGGGCCCACGGACTGACTCACCCCTCCCCCTGCTGCTGCCTGCTGGCCCGACTCTGTCCCTTCCCTTTGTGCTGCCCAGGGAGAGGAGGCGGCCGGAGGATGCGGAGGCGGGCCGCTCCTCGGATCTGGGTCGGGGAACCTGTGTTCTTGACCAGGGCTCTCCGTGTCCATGTGCACGGCCCACCGTTCCCGATGGCCTCGGCGGCGCGCCCGGGGGGAGGGTGAGAAGGAGCAGGCCTTCGAGGATGGCGGCGGGGCTTCTCCGAAGCCCTCCGGCCTCCCGAGAAGTCTTTGGTCTGTGCCTCCGGAGGCGGCCTGGAAGACTTCCCTCGCCGATCGCATCCCACTACTCTGGGGGGCGGCAAAGAGGGGGGTGATGACCAGGGGGGGTTGGATATCATGGCCGGGGCCATGATATTTCCCCAGATTTCATGGCGCCTCTTCTTATTTCATTACGTCCCTGGCACCCCGCTGGGCCGCGCACATGCCGCCGGTCATGATTTGCCCCCCCCCTCGTAGACCCCCCCCTCTTGGCCGCTCCCGATACTCGCAATGTGCCTGCTCGCAATGTGCCTGCTCGCAATGTAATGGATCGTAGATCCCCCGCGGCGGATCCAGGCCATTTGCGGGAAATTGCTTTGCGAGTCGTGGAATGCGCTTGTCTATTCTTAGGTCGGGCCTGTCGTCCTTCTACAGGAGGAATGTTCAAACATAGTCAAGAGATTGTATGGGGATGATTTGTTGAATCTTTGTTTGAATATGTTTGACTATTTCTTGTTCTTCGTCCAAAATTTCCCTTTCGGGGGACATGCCCAACCTAAATCTTTTCCCCGACTGCCGTCGACCTTCCGAGCCTTCCGGCCAGGCCCACGCCCACTGCCAGCTTCCCCCCCTTGCTGGGCGCTCCGCCGATTCTCTCCAGCGCAGTCGGTTTTACAGCAGGAGGACCCCGGTCGGAGGTGCTCGTCTTGGGGGCCTTCCTGTGGCCTACCTCACGGATCGGTTCGGCCCCAGTTCGACTCAAAAACATTCGATCCAGGTGCGACTCGGGCTCGACTCGGGCTCGACTCGAGGTCGACTCGAATCGACGGGCGTTCGACGCAGCCTCGACGCACGAGCGGGGCGATCGGCTCCACATGCGCCTGCGAATCGGCTAGAACAGCATGGCTGCGCGACGCACTCTTGCAGAGAGCATACAGCTGCACCCATGCTGCATTGCCCCCCCCTCGCGAGAGACTCGAGGCCACTGGACGTGATGGAGGTTCAAAGCCTCGATGAGAGAGGTTCGAATGGCGAACGAAGATCGCAGGCCTAGAGATTGACACCAACACCAATATCGGCGGTGTTCCTCCACCGAGGGAAGAAAGATCCCGATCTCGGCGATGGTGGTAATATTCTGGCTTCCAAGGTGACCGAAATATTGCCACCAACACCGAAATCGAGGACCATCTCCCCCCTGTTGAGGCAGCCCCCTGTCTTGGTGTTGGTGCCCATTTCCAGGCCTCCAAGAAGACGAGAGGAAGGCCCCCAGAAGTGAGCAGCCGGCCTCCGCCGCCCTCGGCGGGCGGCGGCGGCGGCGGCGAGACCGCGCGGCCCCCCCGCGCCGCGCCGGGCAG